CAGCTAGCTAGCTGCCATTTTCTGACTATACACGCTAACTAGTTATTTAGCTTTTGTAACATCTGAGGTGGAGCCCCAAGTGGCTTTCTGAGTGGAGTCCTGGAAACAAGAGTGTAAGCTGCTGCTGGAGACTGGGTGCGATCCTGCTGTCCAGCCCCCTCACACACACACACACCTCACAGGGCAGGAAGTATTTTTAGCTATATGGGAATAATGGTCGTCGTTAAATAATTCATTATCTATTGTAAATAGTCTGGGTGTAATGCCCGTACTCAGCCGGGAGAGCGGCCCGCTCTGGAAGCCGGGCATGAGTGCGGTTAGCAAGCCTCCGACTGGCCTGTATCACCTCAGCTTCAGCATCATCAGAACAGCATCCCGACACGTGGCTGAGCGGGACCCTCTCCCCAGGGCCGGATGGGGTCCCACAGAAAGGCAGAGGACTGGGAATGCCCCTTCTGAGGGGCCCCGTCCGGCCCCGGGGACGGGGTCCCGCTTGGCCCCGGTGGGATGCAGCCATTCATAGAGTAAAATTACTTTCTCTTTGTGTGCTGGTCCACTAGCCGTCACGTGACGGAGTGCATCCCGGAAGGTGGGGGGCCAAGGGGCCGTTTAGGATCCGTTCAGCTCAGCTTTCAGCCCGTTTAGCCCATTTCCCAAGCTGCACCAGGGCTCCGGACTCAGGGCGGCTCGGATTACATTGGACAGTCTCCATGTAGGGCACGGATAAGCACGGCCTTCCGGAATATTCCTGGGTATCACTATGCTGAGTTAGAGATATGGAGTAATGCTGTGAGCGATCATGTGACCAAACCACCTGAGTCCTACAAACAGGTTCTTGTACATATCTAGCAGTACTGGCCACCAGCATTGGCAGGACGGGACCTGGAGGGGGAGGGGCGGGACCTGGAGGGGGAGGGGGCTCGAAGACCAGAATCAGGAGGCGGTGGGCAGCTTGTGGGGGTGGGCAGCTGCAGCGACGATGGGCCTGTTTCCTGTGGAGGACCTTCACCCCCCCCTGCTTATTATGGATGAGGAGCTCAGGCTCATGCAGGAGAGTTTCACCCCGAGGACGGGGGAGGGGGGGCTCTTTTGTACGCAGGAATACGTGTCTGACAGCCTGCAGACTTACCCCTCATCCCTGTGCACACTCAGATATCCAGTACAGTGATACACATTCGGAACACTACGTCCAGTCCTGGCAGACCTTCCTGCAGCTGTCTGTTAACAAAGGCAGGATCTTAACCACAACACCACCTGCTGGATGAAATATATCATTTTTATATACGAGCCTGATGTATAGCGACCAGCGATCCGTGGGCCGATCTTTTCCATTTGGCGTTGGTGAGTGAACATGCTGATACCACTCTCCCCATGTCCCCACAATGTAATCCTAAGTTTTATATAAATCTGTGAGTGCAATCAAAAAACTAAAAATGCCAAAAGTAATGCCAAAAGGAATTAGGGTTATGTCCATAGAAATGAATAGACAAAGATTTAGATACCTAATCTGTGTGTGTGTGTGCGTGCGTGAGTGCGTGTGTGTGTGTGTGCGTGCATGTGTGCGTGCTTGCATGCATGAGCACTCGCATACATTTGCTTGGCTCTCCGATACAGCCACTTGCCAGCACAGCAGATGAAGAGCAGCGATAGCCACTCAGCTGTTTTGGATTGGTTTTCGGGCCGGGAGCTTGCGGGGGCACCGGGGGGGGGGGGGGGGGGGTGCTGTGACACATTTGGATGGGGGTGTTTTTTCGGTGTGGAGAGGATAACTGATTCCAGCGAAGCCAATCAGCATCCAGCAAAGCGACCTCAGCCTGATTATTATCCAACTGCATGTAGAGCTGGATATCAGTGGCTGTCGCCGTAGACACGCAGCGGGCAGCGGTAACAAGCTCCACCCTGAAGGTGGCGGGGTAACCCCGGCAGCCGATCTGCCCCTTTCCGGGTGCGTGACAGCATCAGTATTCTGGCAGTGAGGCCAGCTAAGATTGAATCCTCGACAGAACCCCCTCCCTCAGATTCGGGGCCGTCCGCGTTTTGCTAATGATGTCTGAATGTTTGACGCGGCTGTGCTGGGGGGGGATCTCCTAGCCTGGCATGGGGATATCGATCCAGAGGCCTTGGATGGATCTCTGACCTTTGACCCCTGAGCTTACCCCCACCTCCCTGGAGGGGACAGAACTCAACATCTATTTATTTGTCAGACACTTTTCTCCACAAGCGTATCACAGGCATGCGGCTGTCAAGGAGTCAACTAGACATAAGTGCAGCCAGTCTGAGCTCACAATGAGTGGCCAGCGACGAGTGCAAGTTAATGCCAGAGAGGAGCTCAACTGGACATTAGAAAACATCGCAAGAGCCTAACAGGAGAGCTAATAAAACCAGAAATGCCATCCTGTCATTCTGTGGCTCTTCTGCTTTTCCTGCGATCCGCAAAACACGCCCGCTTTTCCCCGCTCTAAACACCAAATGAAAGTATTAATTAAAGTAACACGGCGGTTCTTAAAACGATCATCTATTCGCCGAATGTAAATTTATGTTCCATCCAGCGGCGCCAAGCTGAGATTAATCGTACGGGAATTCACCGTAGTGGAGGAACGATTCAGCACAAGGGCTGTGACTCTCGATCAGAGGGAAGAGAGGTCTTGGGTTCGAACGAGACGCGAGGGAGAGGTGCTCAGCTTGAATGTTAATAGCAAGATATTTACATTTTACCTTTATCCAGCAGACACTTCTATCCGAAACGATTTGAACCAGTAACCTTATGATGTCTGTCACAGCAGCTAGCCGGCCACGTGCCCCCATTTATTTAAACAGTAGAAATTACTAGTCTATAAAGATAAAAGTAAATGTTCAGTGTTCACGTAGCTGCGTGGTGAGTGGACAGAGAGGCTGGCTGATTAATGACTTTTTGGCGGGGGGGGGGGGGGGGGGGGAGGTCTATGACATTCGGGCTAAGGGGGGGGTTTGCTTGGTGAATCCTGCCCCTCTTCGAGGTCCCAGCTGCCACGCCGATGAATGGCCCTTTGGCTGCACATTCTCTTTTACCTGGCTCTCCCTCTCTGCCTCCCTCCTTTTCACTCTCCTTCGTGTATTCCAGGGACGGGGGGGGGAGGAACGGCAGCTGCGGGACCTGTCCCAATCCCCCACGCATACTCGTGTGCCTCACACTCGTCAGCTTGTCGGAGGGCCCTGCTAACCGGCTGAAGCAGGCAGGGGGATTACTATCGACCAGCTCTTTGTGCGCTGAGCGATTTGCTCTTTTTCGGAGATTTCTGCAGTCGGCCCATTAAATTGGGCTCGTCTGAATTCTGGACCTGGCCACGGGAAACGGGCCTGAGGTGTGGGATTAGCCCCTGGCAGCAAACACTCCTGACTGCCCGTGTGCACACTCACACACACACAGGAGAGCGCGCTCAAAAGCAGTCGCAAACGCAGACAGACGCAGTCACGCAAACGTGTGCGCACTCACACACACACACACACACAGGAGAGCGCGCTCAAAAGCAGTCGCAAACGCAGACAGACGCAGTCACGCAAACGTGTGCACACTCACACACACACACACACAGGAGAGCGCGCTCAAAAGCAGTCGCAAACGCAGACAGACGCAGTCACGCAAACGTGTGCACACTCACACACACACATACACACAGGAGAGCGCACTCAAAAGCAGTCGCAAACGCAGACAGACGCAGTCACGCAAACGTGTGCACACTCACACACACACACACACACAGGCACACACACACAGGAGAGCGCACTCAAAAGCAGTCGCAAACGCAGACAGACGCAGTCACACAAACGTGTACACACACACACAGACACAGAGACAATCGCACAAACATACTCGTGTCACACACCGACACTGAATGACACAAACACATACACACACATATAGACAGTCCCACACAGACAGAGACTCACACAGACATACATACTTACACACACACACAGACAAACAAACACACATTAAACCACATGGTGTTTCTGTCCCTCCTCACACGCATTTTCTGATTCACAGCCGTGCACGTCACTCCTCAGGTAATACAGGCCTGTGCATGGCTCTCGTTCTCTCTGCGGAAGCTTCCGGAAGCACGCTCCTTTGACTGACGCGCGATTCCCTTTGATCTGCCCGCTGGTCTCCGCAGAGCTTCCAAGTCCATTCCCATGTTCTCGAGACGGGGCCTGCAATCGGGCTGCGGAGCTCCCACAGAAACAGGGGCCACTGCGGGTGCAAATTAGGGCCCCAGCCTCGGTCTTCGTGGACATGTTTAATTGGCTGATGAGCCCCCGTTATCTCACACCGTCACCTCACACCCCCCTAACCACTTTCCCGTCATTTACTCTCCCTCGTCTTCGCCCCTCTTGCCTCTTATATATCCACTTGTCCTTTTCACCCCTGGCCCGCCTTGTTGTTTTCTAAGCTCCCTGATTGTTTGGGCTGCATGTCCTCACCCTGGCAGACGCTCGTCCTGTGAGGGATCCGCCGATAAGCGGCGCCCGGGAGACCACTTTCGGGAAGATGCTTATCCAGGTCCTAGGAGCTAGCTCTCCAGCAATGAAATCGATATCCCGGTCTTCCACTGTGGCGGGGGCCGAGTGCCATCTAACCTCACCCCCCCCCCCTTCCCCCTGAAGTGCATCTCATAATCCCACATCAATGAACAACTGTATTTCTCTAAGACCCTCGTACCAACGACCCCCCAAGCCCCCCGCCCCCCGCCGATCACAGCTCGGATTTGTCGGTTATTGCCATCAAAGAACCTCATTGGGGAATGGTGGTTTCCGTGGTAACAAACGCAGAGTCAAGGATACCTCTTGCCGACTTGGAGCTGACGGGGGCTCTCGGGGGGGAATGGAGGGCACTTTATGAGATGGTATAGATGTTTAGGAGCCTGATCGTGAGAATGCAGAGAGAGTCCTGTTCTGGGGTCTTCTCTGGAATGTGTGTTTGATTGCCTCGTGAGCATGTGATGGAGGAGGCTGATTGGCCGGCCTGACAGACACCCCCCCCCTCATATTATTTCATAGCTTAGGTTTAAGTTAACTGTTGTGTCAATCATGATGTTTGCCGGGTCCTTCTCCAGAGATCAGCTGGCGAGTCACATGGCATCGACGCTCCCTGACTCCCCCAAACTAGCACTGACTCTCCTCGGCTCCTTCCAACTCCCCCCGACTCCCCCCAGCTCTGCCCAACTCTCCTCAAATTCCACAGCAAGAAGTCTTATCCCCGGCCTGGTGACCCATGATCGGTGCTGCAGAATCTGACACTGCGTTTGTGTGACTCTCTTCGCAGACAGGCGTCGGATGCGCGGTGTCAGTGTTTGGCATGCATGACCACACCAGCCGCGAGCCGGAAGGGCATGTGGCCGCCTGAGCACAGGGAATGGGGTGGGTGGTGATCATTCCGGCGCTGCTGTTATAGGCCCTCAACAGACTGGCAGAGGCACGTGCAAACAACACAGCAGCCAGGGAAACTGTGACTGTGTGGATCTGCCTGTGAGCCACTGTGACTGTGAGACAGGGCCTGTGATCCACTCTGACTTTGTGATGCAGCCTGTGAGCCACTCTGACTGTGAGACAGGGCCTGTGATCCACTCTGACTTTGTGATGCAGCCTGTGAGCCGCTCTGACTGTGAGACAGGCCTGTGACCTGCTCTAACTGTGTGACACAGCCTGTGATCTACTCTGACGCGGACCCTGAGCCACTGACTGTGTGATGCTGCCTGTGAGGATCTTTGACCGTGTGTCAGACTAACTGGGTGTAAAGCACTTCTAGTCTGCCAGGCTGTCAGTAAGCCTGACTGTGAGGTATAATGTATAGCCTCTCACATGCACCAGCTGTGACTTGTTAAGTACACCAGCTCTGGTAGACGATCTGTGGGTGTTAAGTACAGCCTTTTGGATGGACTGTCAGCTAGACCAGCGCAAGAGTGTTAAGTACGGCTTGTCAGGCGGGCTAGCAGCGGGAGGCGGGGAAGAAATTACGCGGCAAACTGATTATAGGATCTTTAATACAATCTGTCAGACCAGCTCTGGGATGAGAAACAGTGGTGGTCAGCAGACTAACTGCAGGATCTGTGGGTGAACACTGTAGTGGTCTGGGAGGGCTACTCCAGAGGTGTGACCCTACACCTGCTCTGGGCTGTAGAGTGAGGTCTGTCAGAAGGTGAGCCATAGCCTTCATCTGCTATGTTTAAGGCCAGTTCAGCCACCAAAATGCTTCGTTCATCAAGACACCAAACGGGATATGAAATGCAGGCAAATGCAGAGATGAAATACAGCCTTCTGAGGTCTTTACTCAACAAATAATAATAATGTAAGGCCATAGTAGGCGCGTGTCAATGAGCTGGCCAGATACTCCGAGCCAACGGGGAAGGTATATCACCATGTTGGGGGTGATGGGTGCTGAAAAAAGCTCAAACCTTAAATTGATTTTGAGGAAAACAGGAAAATCTACAGAACAAGCTAAACACTTTCAAAGTAATTATAAGGAAGAATGTAAGACCGGGCGGAAAACCTTGAAGAATGAGGAGAGCTCTATTTAAATGCATGGCTTAGACGTCATAGGCTGTACGTCATTAAATGGGACTCTCTCGTAAGCAGAAGGACACACCTGTGACCAATCGTTGACCTGCCAAGGGCAACCGTTCCCATTTACCAGAAGGTCAGTAAGACCGTGGAAAGCGTCACAAATGCGACTTTTTAAGTAAGCAGCTCCTGCTCCGACGATGACGTTCATCTTCCGGAAAAAGAGACAATATGGGAACCTCTGTGAACTGGTTTGAGATGGAATACTTTGTGTTCTTTATTATAATGTCATGCCCTGAGTTGCAGATACTTACTTTGGATGGTTTAATTCTATGGTTTAATTTAATCAGTTTGGCAGGGTCCAGTGATTATCCAGCAAAGCCGTTACTCTGTCTTGACGGGTGACGTAGAAATCTTCCTGCAGGAAGAAGTGTGCCGCTGGGATCGCTTAGGTCACGCTAACCATCAGAACTGGGAAAAACACAGAGGCGTTCAGCAGATGCTCGTAACCAAAGCAACGCGCCGTGCTTGCAATGTGCAGCCTCATTCTGCTAGACAGCTGTGTATTTACTGGGCTGATTCATCTTGATGCGCTCTTCTTGTCTCTCTCTCTTAAAAGCCCCACGCCTTAGCCAATGTGCTACCGGGTGAGAGTCTGTAGACGTTCTGGGGGTGTACCCAGGCCCACAGGGGCTGTCCACCTTAATCGCCTGATCCTGTCTTTGTTTTTCTATACATATGTCTGGAGTTTTAGCACCCAGCTAAGCGCTCTCTGCTGATTTTCTCTGAGTGCACTGTGGGTCAGTGTGTTGGGACGCAATGCCTGTGATCAGAAGGTCATCAGTTCAAATCCCAGGGTCGGCAGAGTAATGTCACCGTTGAGCCCCTGAGCAAGGCCCTTAACCCCCAGTTTCTCCAGGGACTGGCTGATCCTGCTTTCTCAAAAAAATGTATGCTGCTATTGGACAGAAGTATCAGCTAAATAAAATGTAATGTCAATACCAAAGAAGGAGAAGTTACTTCATATGTCCACTCTGCTGGTGGTCACCAGGCCGGTGTACCTGTGACACGCTTGCCTGCCAGTAAGAGGCCGGGGCTCCGGGGACCCACTTCATGGATTATTAACTTGAGGAAGGGGAGCTGACCTTCTGTAGCCTGCTGTGCCTTTTAGAGCCCAGCGGGGGGAGCTAGAGAGTGGAGAGCTTTGTGCTACTGAGGGGGGACACTATAAAAATGTAAAAGGCAAGGACGCAGCCAAAAGGGGGATCCTGCTGAGTGACGCATCGCTTGTGTCGTTCCAAAACCTTCCGGGAGGCCAGTTGCATGCGGCGTTTGGCACTTTGTTCTTTTTTTACGAGCCGGGCGGAGGGTGGACTACTCAAGGAATCGGTCGCATAAAGTTTAAATGTGACTCATGGACCCGTATCTGGGTTGTTGTTCTAGACTGGAGCTGAATCAACAGTGATCTCAGCAGGTTCTGTTCACCTGTAAGTGAGACACAGTGAGACTGGGAGAATATTTTTTTTACAGGCGATATCAGGATTCCACAGTGACCCCCCCCCCCCCGCGGGGCCGCAGGCGCGCGTCAGCTGCCGGGGTGCAGCAGCATGCGGACGCTCAGCTCACCTTCATGTGCAGGCAGACACTGGCAAAAGCCCGAATCTGTTGTTTTGTTTGCCCCAGAGCAGTTTGGTCGCTAACAGAACACCCCCTCCTTGCTGTTTGGCAGCTGTATGCCAGCCTAGCCAGCAGAAGTCATTTAGATTTAGAAAAAATCACATTTTTGGGGCAGTATTTTGCACAACAAACGACCCGATGGGAGAGCGACGGGACTCTGAGCTCGGTGCCATGAACCGGTATTTGACGATGGCATTTGAATTGGAGGCAGGGGCGGGGCCACAGAGGACCCCCTCACCTGTGACTCACCAATTCAAAACACATCATTGGCTAATGATATGGTGTGGCCATCTAATGGCCCCCACCTATCAAAATCCTCGAATTGCCTCTGATCAGTAGATGGTAGTTACAGCTGGACCCCTGTCCCAAATAAAAATTTATTCTTCAGTCTGTTTTGTCTTTCGGTTGGATTTTCATTCCCCCCCCCCACAGACTCTCGAATTCTCTAATGCTGTCGGTTGTCTGCCCATCAGAGGGGAGATCGCAGCTTCGCTGCAAACCCTTTAATCAGAGTGACAATCTTCTCCCCATTTGTGTAATGACACCCTTCTGCACAAAGCTCTTAAGTGACTGTAGCTCATGTGCTGCAGACATGTCCCCACTTGGAGTGGAGGAGAAAAAGGCCAAAATCCTAGATGTCCCCAACCCCATCGCCGGTTCTGTTTCATCTCTGTCGTGTGCGATCAGGATGAGATGAGGGTGTCGGAAAGCAGCAGGCCACAGAACACGGCTCTCTGCCTGCGTCCAGATAGTCCATTCCTTTTGGGATTCTCTTATCACGCAACGCCTTGTAGGTGTAACATGTCTTCCTGCTGCCTTATGGAGCCAAATATCGCAAACATATATAGCGTGTGAATATGCATTTTACTTTTTATTTACTTAGTGCAGTGTTTCTCATCCCAATCCACAGTGACCCCCAGACTGTCCACATTTTTGCTCCCTGCCAGCTTCCAGCACACCTGTGTCAGGTAATTGTGCATTGGCAGTTGGGAGGGAGCAAAAACATGGATTGTCTGGGGGTCCCCAAGGCCTGGACTGAGAAACGCTGGATTGGCAGACGCTTTTATCCAAAGCAGCATACAAGTGAGAGGGCAGGGTCCGAGGGTCCCTGGAGCTATTGGTGGTTAGGGGACTCGCTAAATAGCCCAATGGTGAAATCTCTGTGCTGATCATGGGATTTGAACAAGCACAAGCACAGCATCCTGACTCACTGAGCCACCCTCAGTATATAATAAACGTATAATATTGGTTGCTTTTTCTGTTTATTGGCCAAGGGACGGTTTATTACTCAGATTTTATAGACTTTTTGCCAATTTGAATGAAATTTTGGCATCTGTGACGCCAACATTGATGCCTGGAATGTGTTGGATCTGGTTGGCTGCTGTAGACTTGCAAACCTGACCAGACGTGGCTGCTCCCAGACATCATGGTGCCTTCGACATTTTGAGATAACCTGGCAGCCCTCCGTAAACCCATCTGAAAAAAGCTTTATCGCGGTGATCATCTCTAGTCATTATTGCAGCTATTATATCGTTTCGTCGGCAGAAAATGCACACTTGGTTTTACAACAACATGCATTTGGGAGTGAGATAATGTTTCATCAGAAAATTATCGTGTCCAAAGCTACATTTGCCGCGATGCGAAATTCCTCCAACGTCTTGTTATCTCCAAATTGCATTAAGACATTATATCCTTGTAATTCTCTCAGTATAAAGCAGAGCATTAGGCTAAAATCACAAAACAGTGTCATTTTGTTCAGATTTAAACAGTGCATCCTCTCTAAAGAATCAGTTTCCTGTAGATTCACACACCCAGATTTTTCTTTCACCAACTATGACTCACAGATAACTAGGCATTACACTTAATAGTGTAGTGTGTGCATATTGAGTTTCCTGAAGCACTTTAATGAGTTTTTTTGAATGTTTTTGTCACTGGTTCATACTCTGGAAGGTAATTAGTCTAACAAAATGTGATTCATCCTAGGCAGTTTGCACGCTCCCCCTGTGCATGCAGGTTTCCTGCAGATAGGGGACCTGGCATCCCTGAGCTGCCCGTTGTGAATGTGTGCCCGCGTTTGCCCTCTGTTGGCATCCCGTGCTGTGCTGCCAGGGCTGGGCTCCAGGCCCCCCCACGGCACCGCCAGCCAGGAAGCCGCATGGCTCAGCAGGTTAGGATGCTGTGCCTATGATCAGAAGCTCCCAGGATCGACAGAATGGGCCCCTTCTCACCTCGGGGCCCTTGAGCAAGGCTCTTATTCCCCAGTTACCCCAGGGACTGTCACTTTGAATAAAAGTGTCTGATAGATAAATCGGTAACACTTTACTTAAAGCTGTCACCTACAATGCCCTATAGGTATCTTCGTAATGCATTATAATGGTAGGTACTGTATAAGAATTAATAAAGCATTACAGCATCTTTTTTTGATAGTCACAAGGTCCAATGAATCTCTCATCTATAATGCACTATAAATACCTTCATAATGCATTATAATGATCAAAGAATTAAAGGTGCGTTGTACTGCATTATGAAGGTATGTATAGTTAAAGACATAAAGCATTCATAATATATAATAAACATGGATATAATGTGTTGTGCCTTTTTATAAATATTTATAGTCATGTTTATAATGCTTTATGAAAGCATTATACTGTTATGAATTATAGACATGGCACAAATTTTAAATGTGACCAATAACTAAAATGAGCAGTTTGAGGATGGATGGATGATTCATCCAGTTAGCAGAAATCCACATTCTGAAAATGAACAACTGGTAAAACAGTAAGTTCAGTTTGCTGTGGACCAGCTGAAAATCAGGCCCTCTGCAATATAGCCGCTGTGTCTCTCTCATCGTCAGACACACAGGGTGGCTCGATACCTAACGAGGTACGAAGAAACATTGCAGCTTCTGGAGAAAATCGATCTCCACGGGGGGCCCGCCTCCCTCGGCCCCAGCAGTAGATCCCGGGACACTGGGACTCTGAGCCCGTTATTTCGCCCGGTCTGCGAATAAACTGCGCAGCACCGTGTTAAACACACGCACTGTTCAGATTATCCCGTTTCACAGTGTGTCGAACTCTGCCCGGTAAAATGCGGCAACGCCGTCTGTCAGTCAAACGCTTGGAGGACCTGATCCTACATCAGAATAGGCTGTTAAGTATTCCGCATAAAAATAAACCTTGATCTGTTTTCCAGTAAATACATGACGGATAGTAAACAGCATTTCCATTCTGATTGTTGGCATGCCAGTGGGGTGTTAATTTAAGAAAACTAGTTAAATGCCAATTGCATCCCAGAGTACGTATTTGCATAATATCAAATGATTTCATTTGAAAGGATCTTACTCTGGCTTTGCATATTTACTTCCTGCATATAGTTTTATAATCTTTTAATATCAACTAGACATTATTAATCATTCTACAATGAAGAATACTGTAATAAATTAGGTGTTCGTCTGTTTTCTCGAAGTGCGTATGTGGTTGGGGCCGCAAAAGTGTGAAGTCTTTTCTTTAAAGCAGAGGCGTAAGGATACGTGGCCCCTTGAGGTGTGAGACAGCATCACCATGCTATTTCACACAGCCCACTTTACATGATGGATATCGGTAGGTACAGATGGGCAAATTAAAGCCATATATTATTTAGCCAGGTATCACCTCACGTTTTAATCAGATTCCTACAAAACGAGTGTCTTTTGGCAGTAATGATTTGCAGTATTGTTGGTTGTTGCTATAGAAATGAGGAGGTCTGTAGTTGTCGAACAGCTGAAGTGAAGCCTCTTGTGTTCACTGTCTTATCTTCTCCTTAGTTTCACCTTGGCGCGGTCGATGTCTTCCTGTCTCCGTCCCGTTTTCATCCGAGCACAACAGAGAAAAGAATGTCACTGGGGTCTCGAAGGGGGCACACAATCTCCAAAATATAGGCCCCAGAGACGTCACCTCGTCATGCCACGCGGGGAGTTAGTATCAGTGGTGATTTTGCTCGTGTTTGATTGGCTCTTGGGTAACCAATGGTGTGCCCCGCTCGTGTTATCAGTCGTCCATGCAGTGGATTGCTCTAATCTGCATGTGTCACCTTGTTCTTACAGCCGGCCAGCTCAGCCAATCAGCCCACCTGTCTCTGCAGCTGCCGTACGCTGTGCTCGGTCTGGGTCGCAGCGCCAACTTCCTGGACCACCTCTACGTGGGCATCCCCCGTCCCCCTGAAACCAAGGTACGTGCCACACACCCTGAGCTCGTGCACTCGGTTTCTTGTTCTTTGGAGAAATAACCATCGTGCCTGGTAGCTGAAGGATACAGAGACCTCTGTCATTTTCTGAGATTTTCTATGGTGTCCATTTAGTCAAATTACCAAACAGTGCTGGCTTTTATTTTGGTACAGCTTTATTCAGCGTCTGAATCGTCAAACTGAAATGTAAGATCCATTTTGGCAAGAGTAGCAAATGTCAGCAGAAACCAAAGGGAAGATTCCCCAAATGTTCGGGTATTTTTAGACTGTGATCTCAGTATCTGATGCCATCATCACCAACAGCAATTAGAGGCTTGAGTCTCCTCCAGCTTTGCATATTTCCATGATATGATGTTTTGTCTACTTTCCTCCAGCTTAGCTTAAGCTCTGCGGGATCAGACCTGGGTTGCAGGTTCGAAGCCTTCCCACACTAACCCGGATGGCTTCCTATAGGTCTCTCCCGTATTTATCTTAGTTTGATGATGCACATTTTCTCAAGCTATTTCAAAACAGCCTGTTTCATTCAGGTTAGATCCCTGTGGTCAGAAGGACATTGTTTCGAATCTCTGGGCCGCCACTGGACCGTTGACCCCTTTAGGGGCACTGTATGCTAGCTGCCCCTCGGCTATGACCTCCCAAAACTTTCTGTATGTTTCAGTGTGTCTCATGGGGAGCAAGATGGGGTAGGAGAAAAAACAATTTATATAGTAATGAAGTGTCACTAGTCTATAGTATAAATCAGGGTTTCTTCCATTTCTTGGTGGTATACAGGAACAGTGGGAACGGACTGCACTGTCCTCACAGTTTTAGGTATTATTTCTCTAAATATTTTTTCCAGCTGCCGATTTAGTTTCAGTGACTGCAGCGTTCTGAGTGCACCGTCAGGATCTTTCATGGTTAGTAGCTGACTAAGGAATTGCCCAGACAGGTGTTCCTCATAAAAATTACCGTCGTACATTCAGAATCCCGATACTCAGAGCCAGGGGTAGGATTCGAACCCAGCCCAGCAGCTGTGAGCCTGCAGTGTGACCAAATAAGCCGCCATTCTGATGTATTCAGCATAATTTTTTGTGAGTTGTGTATCAAATGCATTTTTATTTGCCCCCAACAATATAAACCGCTCCTTCAACTATTGTCTGCAAAGTCATTCTTCTTCCTTGGTGGCTTCCCCAGTACCCCTCCCCGCGTGCGTGTGAGTGCCAACTCTCGATTAATCCTCCACGCTTCCCACAATCCCCAGCGCGGATGGAGTGTGTTCATACCCAACTGCTGTTTGCCCTCATCAAAATTCTCCAGTGACTCTCTTGAGTTGAAGACGTCGATTTATTTTTACTGTCAGGAAATGGATGTCTTTATTGCGCCGAATTAGACTTGCAGATTTTTTTGGATTTCCCCGCCATGCGTTCTTTGTTATTTCCCGGGACTTCTTAAGTACGATGGGAATTTTTTTTTTTTTTCCTTTGCTCCCGGTCGGATATGCGAGGCACTTTACCCCTTCAGCAGAGCTGGAGTTAATATGATTTTATACTGTTGCTAATAATGGATACTTAAAAGCATCTTTTTCATTTCCCATCTTATCTGCTCATCCTGGTCTTGGGGAGCGAGCGCTCGTGTGCCTTGATTGCCGTTGGCCCCCACCGTGGCGCTAAGAGGCGATGAGCACGCATACTAACAAGCTTCCGGAAGGCCGTCTCTGCCAAGTGGGGTGTGATTGGGCTGATCGTTTGAAGCATCCAGCGCTCACAGTAGTAGCTGAGTGGCAGCTGGCTGAACATCCTCTCTGTGAAGTTCACGGCCTGTTCATCTTAGTGTCTCCTGTTGTCCTAAATGCTCCTCTCTATTGCCCTATGTGAGATTATCTAGGCAATCAGAGAGCATCATAAGAGAGTACTGTAGAGAGTATTGTAGAGAGTACTGTAGGCAGTATTGTAGAGAGTAATGTTTTGAAGAGTCTCCAGCCTTATTTTCAGTGAAAGCTACTTACACAACTGGGGAGCCACTGATGAGGGGGGTGCCCACTAGTCACTGGCTTCCTGCTGACTCTTAATAGCTCACGGCTAACATTCCACTGATGACCACTATTCTAAAGAGTATTGTGTGATGCAAGCAGTCATTGACTCTTCAGCGCCTTGGGGTTCATGGTGTAACATAAGGTGGGAGCACCTCCACACCCCCCGTCCCACACCCCCCGTCCGCAGATGGAGCATAGCGTGAGTGTTGTGGTCCGCCCCTCTGCAGGGGTAAACGCTGAGCCCCTCAGTGCCGTGTTCTGAACATCAGCATAGATCAATAGCGCTTAGAAGCCCGGACAGTTCCGAGCCACCACCACCCCCCCTCCCCAACAGTGGAACCGCCATTTACCCCTCGCCCATCTTTCCGTGCCTGACGTACCGAGTCTCAGGGTTGAGGAATTGCAAAAGCAGGAATAACGCAGTTCCCCATTATGGGGCAAACTGAAAATGAGCATCATTAAAGACTGCAATCGCTTAGGGAAACGTTGTGCATGTAAATGTGTGAATGCCGTTAGCGTCAAGGTGTCATAACAAAGGGCTCCGTCATTAGTTTCTGCGCTCTTTAGCTATCGATGTATTAATGGAGGCCATTCTTGTGTGAACAGAAGTATGAATGTGTCTAATTTAACTACAAAGTTCACGCTGCGAACCCCGTAAATCCCATACCGATGTTATGCTGTAAAATAGACCTGAAATTCTATTAAAACCGAACGTGTGTGTGATTTCTGCCACGGCTCTTAGACGTAGAACATCAATTTGGAGGGGGTGCTTCAGCCGGCTTGCCCACTCGTGTTCTTCACGTTCTACGACGTACTTAAAATAACGTTGTTGCAGCGTCTGCGCGCCCTGAGCCACGGTAATGGCTCTTGGGAGACTGAAAGATGCCGCTGTCAGGAATGCAAACGGCGGCGAGTCTGTTTTCTTATGAAATGATAAATGTGTTGTCGGAGTCGAGAGCTTGTTATGTTCCCTACAGACTTGCTCAGAGGGATGTGAATCTTTTTTTTTTTTCTCCTGCACTAATTGTCAGCGAAAGGCACATTATAGAGGGAAGATGAGCACCTGCTTGTTATATAAATTTGATTTTAGAAAAGCTCCATGATGGGCTGATCTGTGCTGGACAGTCACTAATCACACATGCATCAGTAGTAATCATTTGTAGAAATATGATGTTTAATACAGTATCATTATAGAAAATGTAAAAATGATTTACGTTTGTTTTTATTTGCTTACCAAACTTCGTTGCTTTGTTTCTTTTTAAGCCAAAATGTTCTTTTTGTTTGTCTTGGGTATCTACTAGCCTAGTTCAAGATTAACGAACTTGGTCCCAAGGTTTTAACCATAACCATTTGGTGGGGACTCTCATCTTGACATTCTGGTTGTAATTTCCTGAGACGGGGGGAACTCTACAATGGGCAATATAAAGTCATATTTGAGGAAAAAGCAGTTTCATTACTGCGTTATCATTTCAGAGTTTATCAGTGATGACAGTCAATGCTGCTCATTTAAGATGCCATGGATTTTAAATAGCTGAAATGCCCCCAGACTGCTCTGTAATGACCCTTCCAAGCGGCCGCTTACTGCCATTCTGTGAAACGTGCATTGAGCTGTGCTTTTGTCTTGCTTCTTCCTGAATGTTGTCCTGATGTCACCCTCCAGGAGATACGCCAGCAGGAGTGGACCGCCATCATCCCCAACTCACAGCTCATCGTCATCCCGTATCCACACGACGTCCCTCGCAGGTACAACCCCACGCCCAGACAATCAGCCTGGAGCCTCGCCTGGACAAATTCTGCCTTGGGGTACAGACTTGGGGCACTGCCATCGTCCGGACTCCTGCATCACAGTTCAAAGCTCGTTAGCAGTGATTCTGTGTAAACAGATCAGCTCGGGTATATTTCAGCTAATCATTGATTTTGGTGTGTTTGGCTCCAATAAGAGCCGGGCTTTAGGTGTTTGTGTCTTTGTGGGATCAGAGCTTGGTAACGATGTTCCGTGTGACTTTTTTTTTCATCTCCGATGACTTACAGGACACACACTCGCGCATGATCACACACTAAAATGTCTTTACCTTCATTACTCTGAAGGTGTGATCTCACCCCATAGCCATTTAATCAGCTTTCAACATTCATAGCTGATAGCATGCTTCCTAATTAAGTGTTTTGACTGCCCTCCTCATAAATATTTCATGTGGTGAAGTACTCATTCCATTTGTTTCCTTATCTTCATATGATGGCCCACAGAACAACGCGGTGAGAATTTGTGAACATTTTAATCAGCAGTGGGAATATATATCTTTTTCATTTTCTTCCTGAAATGGAATCCAAAACAATTGTAATATCATTCATTAATTATACTCTACGTGAGTAGAAACTTCTGTTTTGTATCTTGGTTCATCATGATAGGTTGATCCACTATAGGTCTGGTATCTTGGTTGATCACTATAGGTTGATCTTTTATAGATTTGGTATCTTGGTTGACCACTCTAGGTTGATCCTCTGTAGGTCTGGTATCTTGGTTGATCACTATAGGTTGATCCTCCCTAGGTTTGGTGTCTTGGTTGACCACTCTAGGTTGATACACTATAGGTCTGGTATCTTGGTTGATAACTCAAGGCTGATCCTCTGTAGGTCAGGTATCTTGGTTGATCACTCGAGGCTGATCCTCTGTAGGTCTGGTATCTTGGTTGATCACTCGAGGCTGATCCTCTGTAGGTCTGGTATCTTGGTTGATCACTCGAGGCTGATCCTCTGTAGGTCTGGTATCTTGGTTGATCACTCGAGGCTGATCCACCGGCTGACAGTTTCTGACAGACCACAGCTACCGTACGTGACACCCTCGTCCCTCTCCTCTTTTTCTCCTTCAGCTGGAGTGCCAAACTGTACCTGACCCCCAGTAACATCGTGCTGCTCACTGCCATTGCCCTCATCGGAGTGTGCGTCTTCATCCTCATCATCATTGGTATCCTGCACTGGCAGGAGAAGGTAAGGATGCCAGAGCAGATTTTCATGTAAAGCTGCACCTATCAGTACAGATAGATGCATGTGCGACGTGCATGACAGATGATGTTCCGGTTAGTCTAGTCCAGGCAGCTGCTACTCCTCAACTAGAGCTGCCCGCTCCACATAGGCATGGTTCTGGTCTGTTGCCGGATGGAAGAACTTTCAGTCCAGAACCATACCGGTGCATCTTAGTATTGGGGGGGAGTTTAGTGGGAGAAGGTGGAGGGGGTGGTCATTTTATTTTCTCCATCCCTTCCATGTTTGCGTTTCCCAACGAGATACCAAACCACTTCCTGTCATGCCGTCATTGTTTCCTCCCTGCAGTGTAATTATTTAGTGCTGATTATTCCCTAAACCGCCGCTCCACCCCTGCCTGCCCCCCAACAGGCTCCTGAGGCTCACAAGTCTCCCCGTAGGCTCCCCTCGCCTCCCGTAACCCGCTCTAGCACTGGCTCCGCTGAGCGGGATCCACAGTCCTGGCCCCCTCCCCCTACCATCTGCTGGAGGAACCTGATTATGCTCACAGGAAGCCATAATTGCTGCCTGCTAAGAGAAATCATTTTGGGTGAAGAATTTATTGGAGTTGACACTGTATTAAAATAACATGTTGGCACCATATCTGAGGACTCTGGGCTCCTCATTATGTTTCAAGGAAAAAAAAAAACGTTTCACACTCTTGTCTTGATTAGGAGTTGATTGAATGATTATTCTCCTGACAGACAAGCTCAGGTAATGAATTAGCATTGTTAGTCTTTCTTGCTGCTTAATTGGGGCTAGGATCTGTCTGATTTGACTGACCCCCAGAATCTCGCAAAGGTAGGTCGGGTTTTATTAATTTTCTTTTTGGTAACACAAATACATCCATGGTGTACTAATCTGTGGTGCATATTAAAAACGGTTAGTTAGGAAGTGGGAACAGTCATCTGCATTATTCACATAGAAGATGATACCTTTTTAATTTTATTAATATTGTTGCCACAGAAGCCAACAAATAAAATAATTGCAACAAAAAATAAGCACTCATCCCTGCCCATGCTGGAGCAGAGCTTGTTTGCATGGATTCAGCTAAATGGGGTCTATGTTAAATCTGATGCGGTGACTGGTTGAGCCCACGCTTTGGGTGAGAGGCTTCTGATCAGCAGAGCTGAATCGGCACACATGCGCCTGTATCCACGATCCCTCATTCACAGACTCGCACCTGCAGCCGCTCACAGACAGGCAGTAACATGTGCGTGGTCTCATTCACTGACCCGCAACTGTGCGCGCCCACATAAAGGCATCCGAAGAGGCGTAGGCACACGGAAACGCACACAAACCATGTACGCGCCAACAGCCGCCTGGGGCATGCACACACACACGCACACGCACACACACACGGACAGAGACATGACCCTCATCCTCGCCGACGATGTGAGAATATGTTACACCATCAAAGACACTCGTTTAGGCTGCTCCCACATCACCGATCTTCATCACACCGCTCTGCTTAACCATCCAGCGCATCCAGGCTGTTTTTCTGCACACAATTACACTCAACGCCCACCCTGCACTGTGGATCCAAGCATTAAGGGGACCTGCTGCTGGGGGCGGGGGTGGGGGGAGGGGGGGGGGGCGCTCTGATACACAAGGACAGAGTGCTAGCGGCCCACGTCCCGCTGAAATGGAGACAGCTCTCTGACCCCCCAGGCGAGGCCGGCATTAATTACGGATTCGTTAATAATGCATGATGCCCTAAAGGGGCTCTGATAGTGAGGAGGAGAAAAGTCCTAATTGCGTAAGAATCGCTGTTTGCTTTACGTGTCAAATGCAGCGTCTTATCAGCTGTTTGCTAATCCACTTATGCTTCCGTTCGGGGTTGGAGAGCACAGCCGCGGATGTACGGGCATGCATTCGCCATGACCGATTTCAATCAAGCGACGGGTCAAGTGTCACGTGGCAAAAATTAGCTGTCATGACAGAATGACGAGACCAGATCAGGAGTAACAATATCAAAGTTTTAATCCTCAGGTAACGTCGGTGTGAGTAAGTAAAGATGGAGTAGGAAGTGTTCTGTACAGACGTGGCTGTTCGGTGCCAGGTCAGCGACAGACGCGAATGTGCCTGCCGATTGTGCCACCTTGACCCCCGGGGGCGAGACCTTCCCTGACTCACTTCCTTGTTGTTGCAGAAAGCGGATGATCGGGAAAAGAGGCAGGAAGCCCATCGTTTTCATTTTGACGCCATGTGAATGGGAGGCAGGACGGCACACCGGAGCATGGGGGGGTTGACCATGAAGACACCCCCAAGGGATTATGGGAAAGGGTTCATCTGTCTCATGTAGTCTGTTCAACTGGAATGTTTTTTTTCCTAATTTATTTTTTTTTTAACTAAGATACCACGATGAATTTGCATGTCCACAGTTCATTCCCGCACCAGCAAGGGGCTTCAGATTATCCGGTTCCTTATTTTTTCCCTGCTTTGGTCCTGCTGCTGCCAATCGAAGGCCGGCATCGTAAATGCTTCCCCCTAACCCCAGGCTTCCTGCTGGACATCTCATGTCTATGCTTTTGTAATATATTGGTATCAGTGTATATGCATAAACGCTGTGAAGTTTACATTGACCTGGACTGGCAGTGCCATTGAATGGGTACTGTTATTTATGTCTGTATTTATGTTTCCATGTTTTGCACTTTTCCCCAAGTGGTGTATATTTTTGCAGTGGCCCCCTTGTCTGTCTTTCATCCGGGCGCCGGGTCCTCTTACCAGCCCCCCCCCCCTGCTCCCTCCCCAGCTTAGGTGACTTGAATCACGCCAGCGTATTGCCAAGTTATTGTGTCCCATATCCTAATACGTTTTTGGAACCGCTATTAAGGTGTCATGGTGTGTGTGTGTGTGTGTGTGTGTGTGTGTGTGGGGTGGGGGGTCCCCTCACTGCTAACGTTTTATGATGAAAGGGTCATCAATAACATGCATCTGCAAAATTAACACTATAATAAAGTAAACTTTGAGTTTTCACTGCGCAGTCAGGAAAAGAAGAGTGTCAATTTGTACCTTTGCTTGTCAAGGGTCTGCCAGTTGTACCCTAACTGTAGGTAAATGTGGCTTTTAGTCTAAATTAAGGTACATAAATGGACTCTGGGATACACACAACATGAATGTACCCTCAATGGTAGCGCCATTTCTGTATCTTAAAAGGTACAAGTGCCTACGGCTAGGGTACAGTTAATAACAGCCCCAGTGACAAGGTACAAATTGGTACTTTTTCTGACATTGTAAAAATGTAAGAAACTTCTGTCATACACTAAGTATTTCACATCTACGTTTTGCAATGGATAGTGTTGGGACCATATTCGAGATTGAAATTTTTCTGAAGAACTGTTTCTTTTTTCCGACGTTTAACTTTGAAAATAAACTTTCCCCGATAAATCGAACTGTGCAATAAAATGTGCTTGACCTACTGTAACTGGCTTTAAAAGCCGTGCCCTTTGTAAAATCCAGCCGCTTCGTTTCCCACAAAGGCTGTTTGTCATGTCCTCTCACTGTGTAAGGTGTTACTGGGTAGACGAACTACTGCATGTGGCAAAACCGTAACATTAATGTTTAATTTTGTGTTTTGACCTTAAATTGGTGTGCACATCATTTATCGTATATTTTTACTTGTAAGTGCTGGAAGGAAATGTAAATTGAAACTGTTGATGGAATGAGTGATTTGAGAATTAAATCGAATTACAAAACATTTTAAAGACTATTTTCATTACTCGTTTTCAGTACATGTATGCTTGTTTTGTGTAACAAGAACTTTAGTGTAGCAGAGATAAAGGCAGTTATTCAGCAGTCAGCAGCCGACGCGACTTCTTCCTAGGCTGCGAAAACCACCGATTCAGTTTCATTTTAAGTTTTTGCCAAAACTTTGAGTAGAGAACCGTTTATTGTCCATGCTACAAATTGGCCAAAGTCCCAATGAGCGTCTTACGGGCTCCGATGATCATTCACAGAAAGGGGATCATTTTGCTTATTGCAAGTGTCTGGCGTTGAATAGCCCAGATGCCTCGTAATCGCAGTGAACGCTGGGGCTGCCATGTCCGCTTGCTGAATATAGCCATGCATTTATATTCATTTTTGGCCGCTCCTTTCTGTGCGCGTCTCCCCTACTGACAAGTCACTATGAAGCGCGGACCTCATCGAGAGCGCCGGTGCCTCCTTCAGGTCGCAGTAAACGGCGATCGCAATCGAAAGGTCCTTAATTCAGTTTCAAACCACATTGACCACCCTCCCTTCATCTGTGATCGCATTACCGGGATAGTTATCTGCTCTCACAAGTGATATGAAGATATCGACCAAGCAAGGGCATTGCTGCGTGTCCGATATCATTTGGTGTTATTCACCGAGATCGATAAACATTTGCGTTTAATAAAGCGCTTGAGATATATCACCACTAAAATATCTGCCCTATTTGATTCCTTTCAGTGTGCAGGAGCTTGCCTGTTAAAAAATAATTCGCAGAATCAAGTCCTATAGCTTTACCATTATCCGATATATTATGAATGTGTATCCTAAAATATTACCCATAGCCTATATATAGCCTTATATATGACATTGTCAGAAATGCGCGGGGGATTTATCTGCTTTCTGTTGTCTGTTGCATGCGTTTATCACCGCCTTTCCCCCTGACATCAGCCTTTGGAGATTCAGTGGGTCCGTGTGCGCAGTATGAACAGTTGGTTCGGCGAGGGGAGTGCATGCGTACAAGCTGCATCCCTGAACTTAAACGGGCTTCATCTGGAGCTGCCGCTCCAGTGCTCCTCTGCCTCCTCCTGCAGCCCAGATCTCCGTCGGACTTCACCGTATCCCACCCCGATTGGACATACGGCTTGCTTTCCGTATGCATCTGGAAATACCCCCACGTCTTTCCTTGATGGATTTAAAAACCGCGTGCAATATTATGCGGGAGGGTCTAAAACTATAGTTTGCTTTTATTGCATGATTTTTTTTTGTGCAAACGATGGGATTAAAGCAGCTGAAGAAAGTTGGATTTTGCGAAAGCGACACTGTGTGCCGGCTTCCTAGGATGGAAGGATACAGCTGCTCCCGCAAATAGAGAAAGGCGCTCATAGCTGGACCGACAGCCGAGAGGGGAGATGCAGGGAGGTGAGTTTGGGCGCCGGTGCTTCCATCATTAGGTTTAAAATGCTTTATTAGCCGGTCGCAGCCTCTGTCATACTAGGATATACCCTGATTACACACTGCGGTACAGACAGGAGGCACATTCCTGATATTACTGAGAAAAACGGCTCACAATACGGAGCAAATTCACTCTTTAAATGTCTTTTGGAACAAGTTGCTCATTTTTGGTTAAATATCGTTAATAAAATAGAACGCCGCCTGCAGGAGGAATGGGTATTTTAATGAGAGACAAATCGGTAAGATTTAGAAAATATATTTTTTTATTATAAAATCAAGAAAATCAAACTTACTTAACTACTATTGAATCTCCGAGTTGTATCAATCGCTTGATAGCGTTTCGGCGACTCAAGGACACGTAAGGTAACCCTGAAGTGCGATGATCCCCAGCGGCGATGTGGGAAGGAGCGGATTCCGCGTCCAGCTCCGTCTCCGGCTGAAACTTCGGGGCGCGTCTCGGGACCTCGGCGGCTTGTGGTGCTGAAGGGACAGCGCCCGTCTAACGGAGCCCAGGAAATCTGCTGCCTTTATATTACCGCTTAAACCAACAGAAAAATCCCTCCTCGGCACTGAGCATTTAAAGCAAAATCTATTTTAGGTCAGTTGGACACAAATGCTGAAATATATGTATGGTCTTTAACGAATCGTCACCATTCCTGTCCCCTGCTACTAAATATTACAATGTTAATATACAGCGATAAAATAAACGCATATTCTCGACAGTAGGCTATTTGTGCATGGGTCACATCATGGGTGCTTGTTGTAAAACGGCGTAAAACGCATACTACGTGTTAGCTCTAAGGTGAGTTTAATGTGTTCCAGGTAATAATATTTAACGACACTGTAAAAACTCAATGAAGACTGACACTAATGCCATTAAAGCTGTTCTAGCGTATAGCTGCGACGGTGAGGGGAAAATTAATGGGATTTTACTGAAATCCAAGCTATTACAGCCCAGGCTGCCGCCGTATCTTGCCGTATGTGTCTTCAAACTGCACATGCATGCTCTGCATAATTAATGCTTCACACAGGACTTTTCACATATTTAAGTAGAAATATTCACTAACTGGCGTGTCAGCAATCGCTGAAACAATATGTTGACAAAACAAGCAAATTAACTATAAACCATGCGAGTCCAAGCATCTATGCGGTGTTCTATTCGACTGCCTAGGTTAAAGACAGCGTTTTAATAAACTTGAAGAATATATCCGCGAGAAACGATATTTAGCCTACTTAATATGTATATTGTAAAAGATGTAGCTCACACAACGCTCTAAGTCATTCGTGGTGCTTACATCGCAGTAATGTATGTAAACACAAAATCCAGAAAAGTTAGAAGTAACATATTTTTTAACCTGTTATGTTTGATAAATCCCACCCTAATTATGTTGTTTTTCTGGTCTTTTGGGTTTATTTATGCTGATGGATTACAGAAGCTATGTAAACAAAATGATTGCATCTGAAAAATAAAATCCGGAATAATATCCAAATGAATAAATTACACGTTTATTAAGTTTATCTGCAAACAATTTAAGTCTAATTTGTTTTTTTCATTAGCGTTTTCGTGTGTCCTCTGTAACATCGTTGTAGTGCATTTTAACTGTACCGCGACCACGTAAGATCTTGTAAGACAGAACACAGTAATAATCGTTTTATGGTTATGAAAAGGAAAATTAACCCTGTGGCTTTAAACATGTACATTATTGAAATTTATATGGCTGGGCAAATTATCCACATGAATACTCTTCTCTAGGGCGTAAGCCTTATTCTACAATGGTTTGGTGTTTTGTACATTCCTTTTTTTAAGTCGATCTGCATGGTCCCTTTGTCTCTCGTTTAAACAGGACAATCTTGTCCTTTTTCTACACCCGAGTTTGTTTTTCATTGTCCTGTGCTTTTTATGTAATATGGTAAATGTGGCCATTATAGGCAAGAGCCATCTGCGGTCCTCCCTCGTTTAAACCTGCGATGACTTCACATGTGAAAAGTGTTTATGACCCAACACACCAATGGACGTGCTGAGGTTTTGCCTAAATGGCACAAACAATAACATCATGTGCTATATCCCAGTAGGTTTCAGAACTCCATGCAAGTCTACCCATTATGTTGAGCAAGTTTATTCGTCGTAATTATTAAGCAACCCTGGCGTCCGCAGGAACTAAGGTACAGCTATAATATATGACTTAAGTCTCAAATGTTCCTGTTAAAGTTTAACTACGGTGTATTTGTAGTGTGCCCAAAATGTAACCTACACCTAGGTGTAGGCTAAGATCCGAATAGCGGGAACTGATTTGTATTCATGTTGTTAGTGCTGCCACCTACTGTTCAAATGGGCATTGACATATTGAGGTGAATACGCTGGAGCTTTGAGCTGAGCCTGAAAGAGAACACATCTGTCACAGTGAAAGCTTTAATGCGATTGGCCCACACTGTACGCATGAAACACATCACTGGATTTTAAAACTCTTAGCCGGGCTTGGGAGCTTGGTTTTGCAGAGTGGTCAGTCTCGGGCTCATCTGTCTTGGCGTGAGGTTGTGATAGACACTCGCTGGTCCCAGGAGGTGCGTACCAATTATGATCGATCTGTTTTGACTGGACAGGTGGGACTCCCGCCAAACACACAAACCTTCTGATGGGTGAGGGAGCCCCGGGGTCCCAGACATGAACAGCAGAGTCTGGAGCAATCGATCTCCCTGTGGAGGTCCCACCGCAATCTGCCAGACGCACATTGATTTCCCTGGTCCTGGGTGGGAGAAGTAAGGGATATCTGGGGCGCACAGCTGAGATGTGTTTTGCTAAGCCGACTTGCTAACGTATAAAACAGTGCAGCCGTTAGATACCTTCCGAGTTTGTTCTCCGTCTTAGTTAAACATCCATCCTTCGTTCGTGGCTGCTTATCTAGTACAGGGTCACACTGAGCCTGGAGCACATCGCAGGAGGCACAGGGCAGAAGGCAGGGGACATCCTGTGCAGGGTACATAACTGCATACAGAATCTCACACAGCGCAATTCACAGACACTGATTCTACTAGTCGCATGTTTTCATACTGTGGGAGGCAGGAGTGTAGCTAGAAATTCTGGGCTCCGTAATAAAATGTTAACACCCCGCCCAGGGTTGCCACTTCCAGAAGAAATATGGGAGTCCCCCGTATTTATTGAGCCACTACAATAAGAGTCATGGGAGTGGGTCCCCCACGGTGAAATTTCCTGTTGATTGTATAATGTTCCCCAAGGGTTTGACTGATAAGTGCATGGGCATATTCAAGCATGCCTATATTGCTGGACCCCCGGAATTTGCCAGGGTATCCATGCCCCCCTGACGTCCCGGGTAGGAGGAAACCAGAAACCCAAGCATACACGGAAACACTGAACTCCCCCTCCACACACACACACACACACACACACACACAGGACTTTTGGCATTTTTAGTTTACTGATTGCAGTCACAGATATTTATAAAATTGAAGTTACCCATGTGGGAGCCGAAGAAAAGTTACCGGTTTTATCACATTGAGGGGAAATATAGTCCCCACAATGTAATAAATACAAAAATGGGACTCTCCACAAACAAAATATGAGACTTTTGGCATTTTTACTTTTCTGATTGCATTCACAGATCTTTTGGGGGACCTGAACAATGGACCCCACAACATCAAAAAACAGGTATTTATCACATTGTTGGGGCCATTTGGTCCCCACAATGTAATATAAACCTAATCCACACACACACACACACACAACAGAATCAGGAATTGAACCAGCAATGCTGCAGGTGTGAAGTCTCAGTGCTACCCAGTTCCCCCACTACACATCACATCAGAGTTCTGTTTGGTAATATGTGTTTGCACACTTTTGCAAATTAGATATCCGGGACACTTGTCTTGCAAATCGTCTCCGTGTCTGTACTGCGCATATGTCTTCATCGTGGGCCATTTCATTATCCCCCTGGAAATGGGCGCTAACACGTAATAACATTTTATCGCCAGCTGGACCTCAGACTTCGCCAGTGAAGTTGCCGCTGTCGTAACCTTGAGACATTTAACATCCCTTCAGTTAACGTCAATCTGTATAAACGGGTAAATTACTCTCGATAATCAGATAATAATCTGGAAGTCTGTTAAGCAGAAAATGTGTAGATAATTGTCAAGTTAAACTTCCCATTAAATTTTTTTAATTGATTACTCGGAGGCGGTGGTTAAGCGATCGGCGAGAATTCCCAGTTGCTGAGAGAAGAGAGCGTTTTGGAGTCTGTGCACAGTTTAATGAATATTTGACAGTTTCTTAAGGAATATCGCTTGCCTTTTAAGAATGCATTCTATTATAAGGCGGAGATAATCAAGCCAGGGGAAATTAGCATTTAGGGGAATTAATGATGCCAGCGGTAGAGCTGCTTTCTGCATTTCTGACAGATTCATGAAGCCTTTAGAAACAAAACCAGCAACCTTTCGCTTCCAGTTGTGGGCGAAGAGAAACTCAAGGAATTCCAGGCAATAATGGTAAACTTGCTACTTAATTGAGGTTATGTTTCGAAAATTATACTGTACATCTAATATTTTAGTATGAAATGTTTTATATTAGTTTGTCACTTTACATTCTTTTTTATTTTTTAGTACCACAAAATGCAGAGTAAGTTCAAAAGCGGGCTATCAGGTTGACATGTGGATTAATGAAAAGATTTCGCCCTTATAAATTTTAGATTAAACGTCCTATGTGGGTATAAGTTCTTATTTGCTTGGGTGCATATGTTATATATTCCTGTGCAATAGTGGAAAAAGTCGTTTGTCTTATAAACGAATAAATTGAGTAACGTTTTGTCTTTTCAGCCTGGGTTTTCCTCATTCTGGTTGAACAAGGCTTTGCACTTGCACAGAAAACTAAAGGTTTGTTCCCCTTTTTTATTGTCTTAAACAAATGAAGGTCTGTGTGCTGCCTGTCAGCCGTGTCTGCAAAGATAGATTTGATTGATGCCTCCTTTGCACATGCGATTTGCTGTAGAGCAGGGACAGGCGTGTGTCCTTCATCACTGTCACCTTCAGAAGAACATTTAAAGGCAATTAAAATGGGAAGAGCACATTGACCTTGAAGCAGACTGAATGGTTGGATCTCTAGAGAGTTTTCATAGCGACAAAGGGTTAAATCTATAGTGAAATAGCTGTTATGTTAGATGCATATGGTGCTCCCATTACCGTTTAAATCCGTAATATTTCGTTTCAATGAATTTGGAAAAATAATATATGTGATTAAACACTAACTGGACCGATGAAGCCAGAGAAATGTATTAGAATGAATCCAGAACCAGAAGCCACTTTGAGGAGCACAAACCCCTAGATATCCTGACATCAAAGTGTCTGATCCCGGCCACACTCACTTAAATCCTTTTGTTTCCGGCCTCTCAGAGTTGCAGAATGGCGACCAGGCGTCTAAAACTTCAGGGCAGTGCGGAACCTGGATCCGAAATCCAAACGGGGGCCTCTTCAGCTCCCCGAACTACCCCAACATGTATCCCCCAAACAAGGAATGCGTTTATATCCTGGAAGGTATCTGGTCTTTCTGTCACTATGGAGTTACTATGGCACCATATTACAGCTAGCTTTCTGTCAACCAGCTGTCTGTTTGCTTGCATGCAATCTAACACCACTACTAAGTTAAAAACCCAACTAGTGCTAACCAGGGAAAAGCACCACTTCTTAAATGTAGTGCTGAAAACTAGATTGAACAGCTCTGACTGTTGCAATGGAAGTTCAGATATAAAAATCCTGCACGTAAGCTAATACCAGCTACATGCTAATGACCCAGATTTTACATTCTGTCACCAAGGTGCTGTCACCGAGGTGCTGCTTTTCTTGCGGTTGCATAAAACACCTTTGTCAGTGTTGCACACCCGTGCATCACAGGTCCAAAAATGTCAGAAGAAATATGTGTCCTTGTCTTGGAAAAAATCTTATGATTAATAATCTGTCCCACTTGAAGCATTCAAGGGGATTTCACGTGTTGCAATCAGACACACACAAAACAGTTCCCCACAGGATACATGTGTACAGTTGTGTACAAATAGCTATAATTAACTGTGCAAATAGATGGAACTGAGATAAACATGTTAAATATTGATAACCATCCTTTAATATGTTACATGTAAATCACTATAAACATGTAAACAAAAACAGAATATATTTGTGTAAAAGATAATAATGCATCCATAATACATTATAACATATGAAATGGGCACTTGTACATATCCATAAACAACCTTTCCAACATGTATAATATATATTTTTTTAAATTAATTGTGCTTTTCAGACTTACCACACCACAGTTCACACAATGCCTTATTAATACATTTTAGAAACTTCCATAATGAAATAATGCATTATGAACTAATTTACATTCCAAAAGATAGCCGTTTCAATTATGTTAATTAAACGTTAACTTGCAATTATTTGAGTAAACTTTAGAGGGAAGTGATAAGGTGCAGTGCATTCTGGGTGGCCATAAATGACTGCCCACCACTTTGGAATTCCTGAGCACCCTAATAAGCTTTGGGGCTGAGGAACAAGACACTTTCAGTGGCATAAAAGGTTTCAAACCACTGAGGTATATAGGGAAGTAAATTAATTGGAGCCTAAAACGAGTCTCAATTGAAGGCTCATTTTAAGTTAAACAAAAGAGCAAAATAAAACAATGTTTCATATGCCCAGTGTTAGGGAAATTACTCACAAAGGCAATCCATTACAGACAGTGCAGGTCCAGAAAGTACAAATCCAATTGGTTGTTTCAACCAACCAATTGAGTACAAGGAGTCACAGTCACAGAGTACTCAGCTGGATTCACAGAGTACCTTGGTCTGGATTTGTACTTTCTGGACCTGAACTGTCTGTAATGGATTACTTTTGTCAGTAACTTCCCCAATACTGTATATGCTATGGTTTATGAACCCACACATGTAGTGTTCAAAAGTAACAACATAACAGTTGCCAGGTAACAATTTTTTAGTTAAACTTGTTTGATAGTAAGTTACTTCAACTCTAATCCTTTCCAACCACAACTATCCTGTGAAGCTTGCAGCTACTATTACCGACCCTGCCAGTCACTCTACAATATTATCTAACTCTTACATATAATCTTATAAAATAGTGGCTATGATGTGAAGGCTACATGTTCTTTGCTGAAATTACTTGCAGAATAAATAATACCTCTTAGTAATATCCTGCTTTCAGAATAATAACCTCTTTCATTCCCCGACTGACCGCGCTGTTAGCAACACTGCACCCAGCTGACCGTAATGGCCGCCTCCTGCTCTCCTATGATTGTTTTCCGCACGACGCTCAAATATTCTGTAGGACCCACAACGACAAACGCAGCACATGAACTCGACCATGTTTTATTTTCGTTTTTTTTTCTTGCGGATTTTATTTTATGTCCACATCTGCTTGTGTTTTTCTGGCATCGTTATGCTGTTGCTTAGCTTGTTCCGAATAAAACCAAGGGGTAGCTGTGCATTCAGGAGACTCCGTATACCAGTAATAAATGCCCTCCCGTTGCCATGCAGAGCAAGGGTAGGAGGTAACCTCTGTGAGGATGGGGGGCTTTTACCTGAAACACCAGTGGACTCAGCTCCAGTATCTTCTGCCACCCCCACCGCAGCAATGCCCCGCCAGAGGATCGAGCTCGTCTTCGACAGCACATATTACATCGAGCCATCCTTCGAGTGCCGCTTTGACCACATTGAGGTCCGCGACGGCCCGTTTGGCTTCTCGCCACTCATTGACCGCTTCTGTGGACCACGGAGTCCAGGTGTGGTGCGTTCCACGGGCCGCTTCATGTGGATCAAGTTCACCAGCGACGAGGAGCTGGAGGGGCTGGGATTTCGGGTCAAGTACACCTTTACAGCAGGTACAGAGCGTCCCCCATGGTCACGATCTACTTTTGATGACCTCATTAACCTACATTGGTTAGTGCAGATGAATATTTCCAAATTTATAACATCTGTTTATTTTCATATTTACTGTTTTACTTTATCTACAACATATATTTAGATTTAAATTATATGATTGACTTTATAGTATGCCATTTTTATAGTAGATAGAACTTTTGTATATGTCCAGATTTTAGGTGTCAGTGTATAATTAGCTAAACCAAAACCGCTAAGGAAATAATGTAGCTTCAGCAAATAAACGACAAGATGAGACTCCCCGAGGATCTGCGCTTGTCTCTGTGTTCTGTTCACCAACTGTCTTGTTCACTAATGAGCTTTGACCCCTGCCATCTTCAGCATCCCTCACGGTGTGCTAGCGCCGGCGCTAAAGACCATTAGCCTTGACACGACTGTGCAGGCCGTGTCACTAATGTGATATTCTGGCTGCTTTCAAACGAGCGCCTTTTGTCTTTTTCTCTCGTGTCAGACCCAGATTTTCATCTCCACATGGGGGGAATTTTAAATCCTATTCCAGGTGAGTCCTGGCTGGATCACAGCATTCCGGCCAGCTAAAATAACAACAATGGCGCTAACCTCAACCCTTTCTCACTCCTTTCATCTTTTTTGTTGTTGTCTGGTTTTCATGTCCCTTAATCTCATGCTACCCCCCTTCCTCAGATTGTCAGTTTGAGATCGACGGCCCGGATGGATTGATCCGCTCCAGCCAAGTGGAGGAGGAGGAGAAGATTAAGTCTGGCGATGCGCTGGACTGCATCTGGACAATTCGTGCACCTCCCAAGTCCAAGGTTAGCGTGACGCCGCGTGCTCACGCCATCGTGATGGCTCTGGCCAGTATGGTACCCTAGATGGAGCCAGGCTGGGGTGTGGAGGACAGCGGGGCGGCCCGATTAGTGGGACACTGCTGCATCCCGGCCCAGTTGCCGCTGGCAGATCTTTAAAGGCCTCTGAATTTAGCCACACGGCATGAGGTCAGGAAAGCGAAAGTGGAGAATGGCAAAATCCACACCACCCCCTGGTGGGCGTTCAGCTGCAAATGTACACAAAGTAAGAGTAACTCCGCTTCCCCAAACCACCCCTGCAAAGATTGTTTTGTGGAGCCTACCGCTGAAAGCAGAAGCCTTGGCTAACCAGGCTGCCGTTCTCATCCAATCGCCGCTGATGGACTTGAGTGAGTAGCTGTGAAGTGAGTTGTGTCTCTCGGTGAAGCCTGCAATCCTTAGAGGGAAAAGGCCCAGGTGGCTGATAGCGCCCCAATCAGGGGAGACATGCACTCATCTTTCGCCCAATGGGTGAGCAGCATGTGCTCACCACAGCAGATTGGGTGAAAATGGATAGGAAATCTCGGCCCTCCTATTCCAGGCTCCAGATAAGAGTTTTAGAAAGTGAGGTTAAGGTGTTATCAGGCTTTAAACAGATATCGATTTCTGTCGTGTCAAATCAGCTCACTCCGCTTTGCATTACTGAGCCGAAATCACGAATCCTGAGATTAAGCCAACGTAATGTTTTTAGCTTCTGAGCTGAATCACCTAAAAGGGTCAAATCTCTTCTGGGAAAACTGTGCAAGCAGACAGGGGATCCAGGTGTTTTTTGTACCTGTAAAGGCAACTCTGAAAGACACCCCTGTTCCCCGCAGATCTACCTGCGCTTCCTGGAGTACCAGATGGAACACTCCAACGAGTGCAAGAAGAACTTTGTGGCCGTGTACGACGGCAGCAGCTCTATCGAGAACCTAAAGTCCAAGTTCTGCAGCACCGTGGCCAGCGACGTCATGCTCGACAATGGAGTGGGCGTGGTCCGCATGTGGGCGGACGAGAACAGCCGGCTCAGCCGCTTCCGGATGCTCTTCACCTCCTTCGTGGACCGTAAGGACGCCCTCTGCTGCTCACTTTACACACAGCACTCATTATCTCATAGAACACAAATCATTTTACAGTTTAGTAATTCAAGCTGACAAAAGGTCCAGAAATTAAATTGTACTTTATTTGCCATTTGTACATGCACGAGTACAAGTACATTGGAATGCTTCTTTTCACATGTCACATGTGACTTGCACACACATACATACAGAGTTGGCCAGTCTGCAGGGGCCCTCGAACAAGCAAGGGTTAAGGGCCTTGCTCAAAGGCACAACGGCAGCATCAGTCCCCAAGATATGAACCAGCGACCATTCAGTCGCAAGCACAGTCCTAACCCTTAGTCACACTCTGAAACCCACAACCGTGCGATGCTTTTGGAATTTGCGTGTCCCGTCAGGCAGATCTTTTGTGGATAATTCCCAGGCCTGGGATAAAATTACTTCAACCAGGCTCCCATGAGGTGCAACCCTTCCACCCTGGGTCCTCTCCTGAGCCACGCCTAGTCCCAGGACTGGGATAACATCTCCAGTTGTCCCCCTGAGGCACCAGGCCTGCTCACAGCTGTTCTCCTTAATCATCATGCCCCCGGTGCACAAATAGGATGTCACTGCGTTAACAGAATGATGAGTACCTACCCCACACTCACATTTATTACTTACGTACAGTTTGTTATGCTCCATCCAGTTTAATCAGAGCTCGTAAACTGGGACACGGTAGCTCTGAACTAGGTGTGAACCTGATCTCCGCTCATATTGGGTTTCATGTCGTTAAGAAGGGTAGACAGATATATTGAGGGCTTTTCTCAGTTACAAACCCCCGAATCAAACAGTTGTGGATTGAGTTTTTGCTGTGGTCTAGTTTTAGCAGTCAAAAATGTGGGTTAGGGTTAAGTTAACATGACAAAAATAATTTAAATTCATAATTTAAATGGATCACTGATTGTTTGCTGTAATCCAGCATTCGGTTTTGATAAGAAAGTTATTCACAAGGCACTTTTCACAATCAAATTATCCTGAAAAATGTATCCTCCTCAAATGTGATTGGCAATAAAAATTTTCCTAAAATGCACCACTCTTCATACCACAAATGGTCATATTTTCTGAACAGTAAGGACATCGCCCCCCCTGTTTCACTTTGCATTAATTCTGTCGAGATTTGAGACATATCCGATTCTCATGAGTGGCTTATCGAGTCCCCATAATTAAATGTTGATTCTAAATTGGATGCAGGTTGTCACACAGGGAACAATTGTTTCTCCACTGCAGTGTGACTTTTTACTGAATGCCTGAATGATCAGCAAAATTAATTTTTTTTATGTGTTTAAGACCAGAACAGAAACAGATTAGAGGTACTCCAGAACAGTCCGCAGTGTGCTAGTCACCATTTCATTAGGAGCAGAAACAGATCAGAGGTACTCCGGAACAGTCTGCAGTGTACTGGTCACCGTTTCATTAGGAGCAGAAACAGATCAGAGGTACTCCGGAACAGTCTGCAGTGTACTGGTCACCGTTTCATTAGGAGCAGAAACAGATCAGAGGTACTCCGGAACAGTCTGCAGTGTACTGGTCACCCTTTCATTAGGAGCAGAAACGGATTACACTACATGCTACACGTGTTTCCCCTGCACGAGTGCCCGTTTCCCAGGAAGCCCGCCGAAGATGAGGGCTGTCGTGCTGGCTGTCTGTCATTTGGGGCGGCAGCTCGTCTCCGTTAAGCTGGAGAGGGAGGGTGTAACGAAGAACATGCACGTCTGGCAGAAGCACTGAGCTCCCCTCCAGCTCAGCTCTCCATCCAGCACCTGACTCAAGTCCAGTGTGTCCCGTGCTTGAGGAGAACCCATCGACTGAATTGCTGCTGTAAGACACGCTTGCCTCACATGTCTTTCAGCCCCCTGTACAGGAAACACCTTCTTCTGCCATAGCAACATGTGCATCAACAGCTCTCTGGTTTGCAATGGCATTCAGAACTGTGTGTACCCTTGGGACGAGAACCACTGCAAGGGTGAGTGACCTTTGACCTCCACCCACAGGCAACCCCATTTTGTTTGTTTGTTTGCTTGTTTGTATGTTTGTCTTTCTGTGGCACCTGGCAGGAGGGGGGTAATCCCTGACTCATATTTTTTTTCTTAAGAGGGGGCTCCTTCAGCTCTTATCAAGGTACCTGAACCCTTATGGGAGGTCCGGGGACCCCCCAGCTCTCCCTCAATTCGATCACTGCTAGAGGTCACATTATACCCTCTACTAAGTTAACAGATATAGTTTGCACTAAAACGAGTTGCTGGAATGAATTCCTCTAGTTCAATTAAGGTAAATGCTTTGTTAGGAATCGGTGTATTTACGCATGTTTTTAAAATGCCATTGTTTGCCTGCTCTCTTTTTTAATATCCATTTTTGATGCTGTAAAATGGTCGATAACGGATGAATTGAAGCATAGACTTAAATCATATTCAGAGCCCTTTTTCTGGAGGTGAGGTGAATGTACTGTGAAGAAGCAGAGAGGTATTTGTTTTGTGTGTAAACCCATGAAATTGAATGTGTCTCGTCTCTATTCTGTGGCGCAGTGACGCGATAAAAATCACTCCCGGTGACCTGTTTCCCTGCCTCCACAGAAAAGACAGCCAAAGGTCTGTTCCACCAGATCACGAAGGCCCACGGCACTGTTATCTGCGTCTCCATTGGCGTGGTCCTGGTCCTGCTCGTCATCTCCATCCTGGTACAGATGAAGCAGCCACGCAAGAAGGTGGTGGCGCGCAAGTCCGTCGTCAACAAGGCGGGCTTCCAGGAGGTCTTTGACCCCCCCCACTACGAGCTCTTCTCCCTGCGGGACAAGGAGATCTCCTCGGACCTGGCCGAGCTGTCGGAGGAGCTGGAGAGCTACCACAAGCTGCGGAGGTCCTCCACCATCTCGCGCTGCATCCACGAGCACCACTGCGGCTCGCAGCCGCCGGGTGTCAAGCAGGGCCGCACCAACTTGGGCTCCATGGAGCTGCCGTACCGCAATGACTTTTCCCAACCGCCGCCCATGAAGACTTTCAACAGCAGCTACAAGAAGAGCTGCTATGGCTACAAGCAGGGCCACGACTGCGCCGAGCAGGTCATCGAGGACCGGGTCATGGAGGAAATCCCCTGCGAGATCTACGTGCGCAGCGCCAACACCGCCCGCAACAACAGCGACGCAGTCCAGTCGCGCTCCCTTTCCATGGACTTCTGAGTCACGGGGGGTGGGGGTGGGGGGGCTGTTAGACTAAATCACCCTCTACTCCCATCGCTTCCTGCATTCTTCCACCTCAAACACACAGCGAAAATGAGCAGTAAATACAAATCACTGAAATCAGTTACTATACCAAACTGTGTGTCTTTTTAACTCATTTTAATTAAAACGTCGTGTCAAATGAATTAATATTATCATCATTTATGTGTATGGGCTTATTTTTTTGTGCATACATTTAAAAAAATGTGTCAGCTTTGTGCTAAGCTTGATTACCCACGCTCGCATTGCAGATGGTGTAAATAAGACCACTTTTGGAGTTAAACCCTGACAGCAAGCATTCACTTCTGGACCTCAAGCTGAGTCAAGGAACGCATTTCCACTCACGAGTCACTGAAAGACTCCATCCTTTTTTATGATTTTGTTCTTAAGATGTTTCAGTTTGGTTTGGATTAAAAAAAAAATGCATTAATGAATGCTAACCTGTCTGTGCTAATGCGGCTTTTATTTCCGTGTCGTCATGGCAACACAATGAAAGACAGCTGTAGCAAAAACAAAGATGTTAGTTCTCAAGCCAGGTCAGGAAGACTGCATGGTGAAATCCCCGGAGTATAGGTGAAATAACATGGGAACTGAGCTAACAGCTTGGATGGAAAAGGTATACGTCAAACCACTGAGTAAGGGGGGAAATGTAAGGATGTTAGGTGTCAAACACTCATGGATTTTATAGTCGTCATACTCAGTTCACTGCAGGACTGGGGTAAATTCGAGTGTATACCACTTGGTGTTAACCATTTGAAAAAAATTTCAGTTGCGACTGTACAGCTCAACCGGACAATAACAAGGACTAGGTGAGCAACATCAGAGTAATGTGGCCCTGGTCTGACAGATCTGCCCACGATAATCCTCAGCATTTTGTGAAAATTGGCTTATCGGCCACTGACTGAAAGGAGCTATTTTATTAACAGTAAAATTAACAGCAATTAAAAAAAACAATTCGGCTGCATCCCTTATATTGGTTTTGAATAGCACACTAATATACGGGCCATTAACAAAACCTAAAAGATGGGGACGTTTTTTTGGGGGGGTATTTAACTATCCCACTAGACGGGCTTTTCTATCGCACCCCTTAGCCAAGGGCTTGACCTGAATTGCTTCGGTGAAAATATCCAACTGCATACATCTATAAGAATGGACAAAAGAGTTAACCAATCAGCTTAATGGCAATATATTCCTTACAGTGCTTTATAGAAGGATCCAGTATTTTACTAGGAAAAACTGTAAAAGAACAATATTCTATAGGTTGTACATTAGGCCTAGCTCATAAAAATGTGACATGACTACAAAAAAAATTCAGTATGACATTTTTGCAGTTCTGTTACATTGGTCATCACCACCAGGCCGATGTTCATTTTCACTGAAAAGTTTGACATTAATTGCCGACATTGAAAGGACAGTAGATGGCTCCCCCCCAGTGAGGAACCCTGAATAAGTGTCTACCATACGCTCCCCACCTCCATCAGCTGTAATTAAATGAAATGCCACTCTAATGTTGCCGTGTGGTGGAAATCTTTAACAGAAAAGACTATGGCAGATATCGCCACCGATTCACCTCATCTCTGGTGGCTGTCATGTTTCATTAGATTTTGCCGGGAAACGTCCAGATCTGAAGATCTAAAAATGATGGATAGCATGTGACTGTGAGAAGCAATGCAGTGCAAGAGACCCTACAGAATATGGCATAGCAGTGAACAGAAGACTATTCCAGATATTTAATTCAACTTTTCTAACCTGATTATAGCTCTTCCTCTGTGCTTTTAAATGTTATCCAATGCAAATGCAGTCTTCTGACAATCAGCCATCAGTAGGGTACTCATCATCTCAGTCACACAGCAAAGAATGAAGAAGCGCAGGTAAAACTGGCCCACCTGGATCTACGGTGGTCACAGTTGGAGTGAATTAAATCAATTTGTATTGAAATCTGCTCTTGATTTGGGGTCATAATGACAATTGAGGCACCATCATTTTCATCTTGACTTTTTTTTTTTATAAGTTGTCAACCCTGTTCAAGCTACTCCAAATAGATCTGACATCTCACCCTGTGTCAAAACATTACTAATTAATGTCTGTTACTGCAGTCAGTCAAAATTATTTACCTGTATTTGTTCTGTCCTACACACAGCACCACAAAGTATAAAGAAGCCATGGAAAATGTTGATGAATTCCATGCAAGCCCATATTTTCCCCTTGGCCTACATGACTGAAAGACAATTTCTGATGCAAGAATTTGTTTTTAGAAATATCATTTAACTTTCACTGACAATTCGGCCATTTCGCATCTATCCAATGGCATTTGATGTGAGGAAATGAGTCTTAGGTCGTCACAAGACGTTTAGAAAAAAATTAATTAAAAAATAATCAACCCGCACAATAGCATTAACGGAAAATAAACGTGACATCTATGGGCAAAATGTTTTTCTTTTTTTAAATAGAATATAATGCCTGTGCTTTTCAGCTATTCTTACATAAATACGATCATCTGTCAAACAGCGTTCTTGCGACTTTCAGTCAGGTCCCGCAGACTTCAGGTTTAGAGGAAAGGACGTGACAGCCGGAGCGCTATGAACATCGGTGCCTTTGCCAGGGAATAAAAGGGACGCCCTGCTTGTCAAATGCTAACAGGATCAGAGAGAAAGCCCGCTTCAGGATGAGAAGTATCTTCACCACAACAGGGATATCATTCTTGCAACGTTGTGTAAATTTTGCACACAAGCCATATGGTATATAATGTAATCGAGGAGGAAATAGATACGCCTATATATTGAGCCTTTTCCTTTTCACGTTCCCCAAAGCACTGTGCCTTACTATTTTTACCCTGTCTTGACAATCAGTGGACCAGTATGAATGGTACTGAACAATTTCCCGTGAGTTACAATTCATCATTTGAGAGAGTCATTTTCAGATATTCTTACTAAATCTTGTATTGTAATTTCTCTGTGGTTATCAAAGTTATTATCTCTCTCTGCTTCGGTTACTCCAGCACACATCTATAGATATATTTCAGCATCGTAAGATACTGCTGACAAAAACTTTTGCAACAACATTAATGGTCTAATTAAGAGTCATTGTAGCTTATCGTGCTGTTAGAGAAACGGTGTGATTAAACATCCTGACGATACTGACTCAATGAATCAAGAAATAAATAAAAAAAGTCAGTGAACACAGCCGCAGACACTGAACGCCAAGTGAATACCAAGATCCAGCCATTTTGCAGCGTTTCATTTTGTGCTTGTATCATTTATCTGTGCGTCCACTGTTTCCTTTGGCCTCACAAGGATGCCAGAATAGTGCTCTGCCTGAGAAAAACATCCCCAGTGTTCCCTTCCCTGCTTTCCTGAAATAGCAACAACAAGCCTTAAAGGCTTGTCTCGTGTAATTCAAAGAAGCATGTATCTACAATAACATAGCTAAAATTATCTGAGTTCTTAATTTATTACTATACCTTTATGTGTGCTCTATATATGAAATCTTCAAGAATTAAAAATTGATAAAGGTCGCACAATTTATTTAATAGGGGGTTTTGTAGCAATGGGAAACCATATCTGGAAAAAGTGGCCACGCAGCAATACCCATTCGTACTATATTTAGCCGGTTCTTGGGGAATGTCAAAAAGGAAATATTACAGCGATGTAATTTTACATAACATTAATATCCGAGTACACCTTTTCCACTGAGGAATCTGATGAAAAATTTCCTTAATAATTATATTAATAAAGCAGGAATCCGCTTTGTTCTTAAACAGCCATTTGTTCTTGATATTAATACGATGTAGGCCTATTTATATTACCGCAACACTACAATTTTAATATGTGTCAATGTGGCGCAATACGAGGTGATAGGAAAAACATGTCAGTGAACATTCACACATGGATTCCACAAAATTACACATTACAACCAATACGCCACTTCTTTCAAATGAAACCATTGAATAATTCATCTAAAGAAAGACGACCATTATCCAGCCTAGTCTAATCATAACCACGCCGTTTAACCACTACCTTATCATTACGTTTTATTACACGTAATTGTCAAAGATAAGTGTGCTTGATTTCTAAACCCTCAGGAAAGCAGCCACTTAATATTATGTACTGTCGGGTAGATAAATGGGCCAAGTAGTTCGGTTTTCACTACATTTGCACTGCAATTAACTTTTTATTAGAAACTTTTATTTCAAACAAAGAATGTAACGCTGTAAAATAATGCATTGATTTGGCTTGGGAAACTATTCTTGCTACTCTTCATATTGCAAACAGCATTGTTTTTTCTTTGCATAATTACGCAGCATTTCATGAACCATTCCATATTCACCAAACTGACTAATTCAAACAAAAGCTATGATTGTTATTCCCTAAATTGCTTCAGGAAATATAGCTTGTGTCTTACGCCATCTGGCGATCATTGCCATGCCGTACTAAATGTTGAGCATGCAGATAACCTATTAAGTATAACGACATAATAGATCATAGATTATCTATAACATACACTAGCACACTCCTTTCTTGGATCTTCACACCAGTGCTCTTTCATATCTTATCTGATACAAAGGAGTGCGTAGTTTTATTTAGTGTGCTCACTCTATTAACCCTTAATCACGGTTATATAATGCAATAGGCTGCTTCAACAAGTGTGCGCATCCTTTCCTTGTCTGTGTAGGCTACTAAGCGAGTCTTTGTTGAATGGGCAATGGAACAGCATTATTTTTAACACAGGACGTACACGATAATGCGTCTCGGTTATTCGTCCGTCTCATCCTCAGAATATTATGCGAATTTCACAACAAAGGGAGCGCGCCGCCTGCACGCTGTGCGTGACGTGCGCGCCGCGGGTTAAAGTTGACGCAGTACGCATGACGTAAGGGCCGGCTCCTCTTTCTCTTCTACACTTTTCTCCCCCTGCAGAGGCTTCTTCTCTCAGCACCGTCATGGCGAACGTCGTTGACACCAAGCTGTACGACATCCTGGGGGTGTCCCCCGGCGCCTCCGAGAACGAGCTGAAGAAGGTATCGTCTCTTTCGACGCCGTAATGTCGGTGCCTGAACGGCGTTTCGTGGCCGGCTCCCCGGTGCTGGGAAAGCGAGCGTCGCTGCTGTGGCCTACCCCTGTGCGCGGGCCTTGCGGGGGAAGCACGCAGCCGGCTCTGCAGCCTGTCCCTTTACTCAGCGTCTGTTTTACAGCCCGAATGCTTTCACCTCCACTAACTGCAGAGTGTTGAAATAGGGTTTATTCCCGTAACACTCTTCGCTTCTCTGAAAGGGGGAGTTGGCTTCCTCGTTTACCGGTCATGTCCCCTGTGTGGAGGGGACGGGCGCGTGGGCTTTTAATGCCGATGTAAACCGCTTAATCTGCAGTTATAACCGAAAAACACGGCTGATGGTGACGCACTAGGCCTTTAACTACAAACTGCAGCCGATCTTGTTTTCGTT